ATGGCCGTAGACGTTCAATTAAAAAATTATGTATTTGTGAACTTTAAAATCATACTCGTGTTACAATTCCTCATTGATCTTAGAGTCAAAACCCAGGTTCAACTCGCTCCTGCTCAATTTTGATGCTCTCTGAGTTGCTCACAGGAGAATCATCCTTTGTTTTTTAGTTCAACTTGAATTACCATTGAGACTTTATTTTTTTTATATTTTGAATAAATAAAGAAATGAAAAGATCTTTCTTCAATTGATCCCACAGCCCCTAAATTGAAACAATGCAAAAAGGAACCTTGCTACTTGTCATCGTTACTCCAGTCTTAACCGAAAAGTTGCGTAAGGGATGCGAAATTTTTTAGTAAATTTTGGAGTCAACATTATTTATTCTTTTCATTCCTTACTTTTTTTATTTGTAATTGAAGGTTTTATGAATTTCTCTGAAAATTGAGCTTTGTCTGAGCCAATTTCATTTCCATTTTGCCTTTTTTTTTTTGCGATTTGTGAGCATTTGCCGAATTTTTCCTTCATTACGGATCAATAGCTTTTTTCACTCTGATTTGCAAAGTCAATTATATTTAGAAATGGCCGAAGAGAAGATGAAATTGGATTCAAGCGATCCTCCTGCGCACAATCAATCGAATGTTTACAATGTTGATTTAGAGAAGGGTCTTTGTTTGGATACACAACAGGACATCAACAAATTGTCCTATCCATCTTCCTTCAATTCTAACAATAGCAAGAAAACGATCGTGAATAGATTCCAAAACAGCTTGATAAAGAAAAGCTATGATGAAGCGTTAAAACAATTATCCCACCGCTTTCCTGATAATCTTGTCTTGAAAAATCGAAACTACCGTGAACAATTAACACTATTCTTCTCGTTGATGTGTACATTAGCAATTTCATACATTCTCAAACTTCTTTCTTGGCTGAAACAAGTATATTTGGAAGCTGGTTGCAGTTGGGCCCTTTTTGGACCTATAGGCCTTATGTTTATGTTATGGGCAATCCTAAATGGTTTTTTCTTTAGTAAGTGAAGCATTTTTGATAAAAAAGGAGGGAAGATGCCGTTATGTTTGCTAACAAAAATTAGACTTTCCTTTACTCACTGTCAGAATAACAAGAACTTTTGCACACGTTATAATAGGTGTTTCAGTCGTAATTGCAGTCTTAGTTGGATGTGTCGGAGCTGCTGGAGTTTCTGTTGTTAGTCTTGTGTGCTGGGGATTTTATAACATTCTTGTTTTTGGCCTTGGACTGAAACTTGAGCGCTCAGCTGAAAACATTGGCTCGCCTACGCTGCCCAGACATCAACAAAGGGACGACACAGTGGCACCTCTGTCGACGACGACCAGGAATGAAGAAATCGAGCGTCAGAACAATCCTACCACTCAAAGTTAACACTACGTTGTTTACCTTTCTTATTATTATTACTGTTATTAAAAATCGCAATTGAATACGATTATTTCATTTCTTTTCATTGAACTTGTAATTAGTCTTTTGTCACTTAGAAGCAATAGTAGTAGACGTATAAAATAGAAAAA